GCGGGTCACAGCGGGTCTACAGCGGGTCACAGCGGGTCTACAGCGGGTCTACAGCGGGTCACAGCGGGTCACAGCGGGTCACAGCGGGTCTACAGCGGGTCACAACGGCTCTACTGCGGGTCACAGCGGGTCTACAGCGGGTCACAGCGGGTCTACAGCGGGTCACAGCGGGTCTACAGCGGGTCTACAGCGGGTCACAGCGGGTCACAGCGGGTCTACAGCGGGTCACAGCGGGTCACAGCGGGTCACAGCGGGTCTACAGCGGGTCACAGCGGGTCTACAGCGGGTCTACAGCGGGTCACAGCGGGTCTACAGCGGGTCTACAGCGGGTCTACAGCGGGTCACAGCGGGTCTACAGCGGGTCACAGCGGGTCTACAGCGGGTCACAGCGGGTCACAGCGGGTCTACAGCGGGTCTACAGCGGGTCACAGCGGGTCACAGCGGGTCTACAGCGGGTCACAGCGGGTCTACAGCGGGTCTACAGCGGGTCACAGCGGGTCACAGCGGGTCTACAGCGGGTCACAGCGGGTCTACAGCGGGTCTACAGCGGGTCACAGCGGGTCACAGCGGGTCTACAGCGGGTCTACAGCGGGTCACAGCGGGTCTACAGCGGGTCACAGCGGGTCTACAGCGGGTCTACAGCGGGTCTACAGCGGGTCACAGCGGGTCTACAGCGGGTCACAGCGGGTCTACAGCGGGTCACAGCGGGTCACAGCGGGTCTACAGCGGGTCTACAGCGGGTCACAGCGGGTCACAGCGGGTCTACAGCGGGTCACAGCGGGTCACAGCGGGTCTACAGCGGGTCTACAGCGGGTCACAGCGGGTCACAGCGGGTCTACAGCGGGTCTACAGCGGGTCACAGCGGGTCTACAGCGGGTCACAGCGGGTCTACAGCGGGTCTACAGCGGGTCTACAGCGGGTCACAGCGGGTCACAGCGGGTCACAGCGGGTCTACAGCGGGTCACAGCGGGTCACAGCGGGTCACAGCGGGTCTACAGCGGGTCACAGCGGGTCTACAGCGGGTCACAGCGGGTCTACAGCGGGTCTACAGCGGGTCACAGCGGGTCTACAGCGGGTCTACAGCGGGTCTACAGCGGGTCTACAGCGGGTCTACAGCGGGTCTACAGCGGGTCTACAGCGGGTCACAGCGGGTCTACAGCGGGTCTACAGCGGGTCACAGCGGGTCTACAGCGGGTCTACAGCGGGTCTACAGCGGGTCTACAGCGGGTCACAGCGGGTCTACAGCGGGTCACAGCGGATCACAGCGGGTCTACAGCGGGTCACAGCGGGTCTACAGCGGGTCTACAGCGGGTCACAGCGGGTCTACAGCGGGTCTACAGCGGGTCTACAGCGGGTCTACAGCGGGTCTACAGCGGGTCACAGCGGGTCTACAGCGGGTCACAGCGGATCACAGCGGGTCTACAGCGGGTCACAGCGGGTCTACAGCGGGTCTACAGCGGGTCACAGCGGGTCACAGCGGGTCTACAGCGGGTCACAGCGGGTCACAGCGGGTCACAGCGGGTCTACAGCGGGTCACAGCGGGTCACAGCGGGTCTACAGCGGGTCACAGCGGGTCTACAGCGGGTCTACAGCGGGTCACAGCGGGTCTACAGCGGGTCACAGCGGGTCTACAGCGGGTCTACAGCGGGTCACAGCGGGTCTACAGCGGGTCTACAGCGGGTCACAGCGGGTCTACAGCGGGTCACAGCGGGTCACAGCGGGTCTACAGCGGGTCACAGCGGGTCACAGCGGGTCACAGCGGGTCTACAGCGGGTCTACAGCGGGTCACAGCGGGTCTACAGCGGATCTACAGCGGGTCACAGCGGGTCTACAGCGGGTCACAGCGGGTCTACAGCGGGTCTACAGCGGGTCTACAGCGGGTCACAGCGGGTCTACAGCGGGTCACAGCGGGTCTACAGCGGGTCACAGCGGGTCTACAGCGGGTCACAGCGGGTCACAGCGGGTCTACAGCGGGTCAAAGCGGGTCACAGCGGGTCTACAGCGGGTCTACAGCGGGTCACAGCGGGTCACAGCGGGTCTACAGCGGGTCACAGCGGGTCTACAGGACCGGGACAGGAGGCTGTTGGTCCGGTGACGCAGGACGGCGCGGGGCTGAACCGTTCCCGCTGGATTTAAGCTTAATAAAGTCTGGACCTCGTCGTCAACTCAATCGTTTATTCGAATAGCAAACAACAGTTACTGCACGCACTGCAAATGGTTTAAAAAATGCTGGAGTCAGCCAATCAAAATTCAGCATGAACACGACCAATCAGCATGTTTAGCACCCAAGTCCCGCCCCGAAAGCTCCTGAACTTATGAAAAGCAGCACCTCGCGAGCAGGACTCTCTGAGGGGGAATATTTACCCAGAACTACTTTTAGACCCTGATTCCTGCGGTGGAAACGCGGCTTGCGAGTGTGTGTTCGAGTGTGTGCGAGTGTGTGTTTTAGTGTGTGTTCGAGTGTGTGTGCGAGTGTGTGTTCGAGTGTGTGTTTGAGTGTGTGTGCGAGTGTGTGTTCGAGTGTGTGTTTGAGTGTGTGTTCGAGTGTGTGTTCGAGTGTGTGTTTGAGTGTGTGTTCGAGTGTGTGTGCGAGTGTGTGTTTGAGTGTGTGTTCGAGTGTGTGTTCATGTGTGTGTTCGAGTGTGTGTGCGAGTGTGTGTGCGAGTGTGTGTTCGAGTGTGTGTTTGAGTGTGTGTGCGAGTGTGTGTTCGAGTGTGTGTTTGAGTGTGTGTTCGAGTGTGTGTTCGAGTGTGTGTTTGAGTGTGTGTTCGAGTGTGTGTGCGAGTGTGTGTTTGAGTGTGTGTTTGAGTGTGTGTTCGAGTGTGTGTTCGAGTGTGTGTTTGAGTGTGTGTTCGAGTGTGTGTGCGAGTGTGTGTTTGAGTGTGTGTTCGAGTGTGTGTTCATGTGTGTGTTCGAGTGTGTGTGCGAGTGTGTGTGCGAGTGTGTGTTCGAGTGTGTGTTCATGTTTCTGCAGTTCTCACGCGGTCGTAGAGCTCGAGGATCAGGTGATACGCCGCCTCGTCAGAGCCAAACTGCAGATCCACGATCCTGTCCACACCGAGCTGCTTAACATGAACCAGCCGCCGGGACTTCAGATGCTTCCGGCACTGAGAGACACACACACACACACACACTCAGTGACATCATCATCGACACACATACACACACACACACACACACTCACTTACTCAGTGACATCATCATCGACACACACACACACACACACACACTCACTTACTCAGTGACATCATCATCGACACACACACACACACACACACACACACTCAGTGACATCATCATCGACACACACACACACACACACACACACACTCACTTACTCAGTGACATCATCATCGACACACACACACACACACACACACACACACACACACACTCACTCACTTACTCAGTGACATCATCATCGACACACACACACACACACACACACACACACTCACTTACTCAGTGACATCATCATCGACACACACACACACACACACACACACACACACACACTCAGTGACATCATCATCGACACACATACACACACACACACACACACTCACTTACTCAGTGACATCATCATCGACACACACACACACACACACACACACTCACTTACTCAGTGACATCATCATCGACACACACACACACACACACACACACTCAGTGACATCATCATCGACACACACACACACACACACACACACACACTCACTTACTCAGTGACATCATCATCGACACACACACACACACACACACACACTCACTCACTTACTCAGTGACATCATCATCGACACACACACACACACACACACACACACACACTCACTTACTCAGTGACTTCATCATTGACACACACACACACACACACACACTCACTCACTTACTCAGTGACATCATCATCCACACACACACACACACACACACACACACACTCACTCACTCACTCACTCACTCACTCAGTGACTTCATCATTGACACACAGTCACAACTCAGTGACATCATCATCGATATTTACCAATTTATAGTCCGGCCTGAACACACACACACACACACACACACACACACACTCAGTGATGGACGTCTTCAGTAATTATAGCACATCAGTCTGAATCCGTACTTTCATGGCGAATCCCGACGGCATGATGTTCTTGGGCCAGTCGAACTCAGTGCAGTGGATCCTGATGCCAGACTCGATCAGCAGCACCGATTTACAGTCCGGCCTGAACACACACACACACACACACACACACACACACATTACATCATCAGCATTTCAGCTCATTACTGTCTGTGAACAAACAGACTTCATTGCATATATTTCTATTCATTCAGATCTCACCGTGACCTGGATCAGACCAGAGAACACTGCAGCTCACCTCTGACCTCTCACACACACTCTCACCTCTGACCTCTGACACACACACCCTCACCTCTGACCTCCACCTGGACTGATCCTGCCAAACTCAACATGAGCGTTTCAGAGAAGCGGCTGGAGACTTCACCCAGCACTACTAACCCAGGGGTGTATCGATACACGTTTGATGGAACAGTTCCATTCAAGGCTTTTGTTCAGTTTTCGGTCCGCATTTTCAAACCGAACGGTTGGTTGGACCATTTTTCCTGCCGAGCAGCTGGAGCTGAGCTGAGCTATTCGGGATTGTGTGGTTGACGGACCGTTTGTCAGTTTGGACCAATGCGGCGCGAGCAGATCTTGATCATCAGCACTGTTACTACCCTGAGAAATCATTTGAATTCGCCCCTGAAGTGATAACATCGCTGCGAGATCTACTGAGAAACATTGACATTTCCCCGTTATTAACGGACCCGACAGCGCTGACGTGGAAACTAGGAAGAAACACTGTGCCATGAATGAACTATCCAGTGTCCACAGATCAGCATCAGCTGGGTTTACTGTCCTTACACTAACCCAACCACTGAAGTTTAGCAGGAATAGTAGACTATAATGCTTACACGTAACATTATGTTGGTTTTATTTTGACATTATGAATACAATTGCTGCCCTCAAATGTTAATCTGACCTAAAATAATCCTTTGTTTGGGATTATAATAAAATCCCCCCCTCGTGGCCTCAAGATAGTTATTATAAATGTTGTGGATAAAGTGGGACTAGGGGGGCATGTTTTAAATGCTCCTAAATCAAGTATAGTTCCATCATTTCTCAAAAGCAAAATAAATAAATAAATAAATCAGACTTTATGATGTTAGTTTAAAAAAATTAAATTAAGGAAATTTCTCTGGCATTTCTTTCTTTTTGCCATATTGAAAAAATACCGAACCGTGACTTTTGTGGACCGTTACACCCCTACTACTAACACTTTCTAAGTTTCTATTCTATCTATCTAGAAAACATCAAAACCCTTGCTCTCTGTCCTGTGAGACTGACTGAGACACACACACACTTACAAACACTCTCCCACGTTCACACACACACACACACACACACACACACACACATACACACACACTGCTGCTCTATTGTATGTTGAACTGCTATTATTCTCCTCATGTTTAAGTCTCTGGATAAAAGCATCTGCTAAATGATTGTATGATTAAATGTAAATATAATATCTCAGGATCACATATGTGTATATCATCTTATGAATATCATTACACATTTACTTATATTTCATATCACACATTTACATGATCATACTGTACTTTTTTCTATATCTTTTGTACGAGAGTGTGTGTGTGAGAGAGTTTAAATGAGTGTGTGTGTGTGAGAGGAAGTGTGTGTGTGAGTGAGTGAGTGAGAGAGAGAGAGAGAGAGAGAGAGAGAGAGAGAGAGAGAGAGAGAGAGAGAGAGAGAGAGAGAGAGAGAGAGAGAGAGAGAGAGAGAGAGAGAGAGTGTGTGTGTGTGTGTGTTTGTTTGTGTCACTCACTTCTGTAGCCGGATCAGGTATGTTTTAGTGTCGATGTCATAGATGTTGTTGACTCTCATGCCGACACATCTGCACAAATAAACACGTCATTAACACCAGCACAACAGATGAGTGACGTACAGCAGATAAACATGATCGCGTTACAGACGCATTTAGTAGTTCTTACTTTGCATTGATTTCTGAGATCACTGCCCTAATATCCACGGTATTAAACCTGCTCTTCATGATTGATTATTATTATTATTTTTAATTATGGCAACAGACTCTGAGTTCACACATCGGACATGCGACGGGTTCCGCATAGCTTGTACGCATGCGCATCTGTGCTTCTACGGAAGCCTGTTTGCGTTTTGAATGGAACAAACAGTAAATGCAGACATTAAAGAATACATTTAAGAAAGATATTTAAAACCAGTAATTATAGTTATAATAATAATATAATAATAATTATTATTATTATACATTTTCCAAGATGGACCGAGAAAGATGTTCAGTTTATTCAGCAATGCATTTAGATTAATCCTGCTGTTTATTTAGCGTTCATTCGACACTAAACGCGTTATTGTGCTGAAATGAGTCTCGAACGGGAAAGCACACGGTCAGAGAGCAAGACTCGATTGTTGACACACAAAGGTGAGAATCTTTGATTAACATCCACTAATGACGGTTGGTTGTGATCAGCGAAGAGCGCGTGACCTCTGGCTGCAGGTCAGAGTTCACACGCATGTCGCGTTGCCATGGAGACCAGTGGCGGCTGCGCGACTCGCGCTATAATGTCATTAATATCCGTGTAATAAACGCGTGAATTTTCAGTTATAACATGAAATAAGTGTGTCGGTGTTGCTGACATGCGACGTCACCATCGGAGCAATGAACAGTAAGACGCATTAAATGTGTTTTTGTCGCCGTTACTCGTGTTTGCTGTGTTTGACACCGTGTGTGTGTGTGTGTGTGTGTGTGTGTGTGTGTGTGTGTGTGTAACGTTAGATTACAGAGTGATCGAGAAGATCGGCGCGGGAACTTTCTCTGAGGTGATGAAGGTGAAGAACATGAAGGACGGCAAACATTACGCCTGCAAAACCATCAAGCAGAGCGTGGGGAGGTATGACGTCACGGGGCAACGGCCGCAACCTGCGGGTGACGGGTCACATGATTAACCCAGACTCTGTGTGTATGTGTGTGAGAGAGAAAGAGTGTGTGTGTGTGTGACAGAGAGAGAGAGTGAATGTTAGTCATAATTATAATGTGTTTCACTGAACTGTAATGACAAGTGAACTCTTTTCCTACATGATCATATAACGTGCTGATGATGATGGTGACGATGGTGATGATGACGTCAGTGTGGATCAGGCTCATGGGCTCCAGGAGGTCCAGGCCATGAAGCGTTTGAGTCCTCATCCCAACATCCTCCAGCTCCACGAGCTCATCTAGTGAGTGTAGATCATCATCAGCTCAGGGTGAGGGTAATGCTAATGTCTGAACTGATCTGAGGCTCTGCTTCCACAGCGATGAAGACACTGGAACCCTGTCGCTGATATGCGAGCTCATGGACATGAACATATACGAGTTTATCAAAGGTGTGGTGAGTTTGCTGCGTCATGTTTGACATTAGGAGTTTAGAATTATGACTCACCCAGACAGACTGTTTTCCTCTTCCAGGGCGACAGCATCCAGTGTCTGAGAGCAAAGCCAAACACTTCCTGTTCCAGCTGTGCCGATCACTGGATCACATGCACAGGTGTGTGTGTGTGTGTGTGTGTGTGTGTGTGTGTCTGTGTGTGTGTGTGTGTGTGTGTGTGTGTGTGACGTTACTGACGCTGTTCTGTTCCTCTCCTCAACCCAGCCGAGGGTTATTCCACAGGGACGTGAAGCCGGAGAACATCCTGATCAAAGTAGGTCAAGGGTTAAACTCGTTCATTAACAGTCTTCACTGAGAACTTCACAACACGCGTGTGTGTGTGTGTGTGTGATGAGGTTCTGAAACATCCCCTGATGTTCTGACAGAACGAGGTTCTGAAGCTGGCAGACTTCGGGTCGTGCAGGAGTATCTCCTCCAGGCCTCCTCACACCGAGTACATCTCGACCCGCTGGTACCGGGCGCCCGAGTGTCTGCTGACCGACGGACACTACTCTCAGAAGATGGACGTTTGGAGTGCCGGCTGCGTGTTCTTCGAGATCCTCAGGTACTGCTAGTGTGTGTGTGTGTGTGTGTGTCATCATACTCTAACGGGCCGCTTCATGTCTTCTAGCCTGAGCCCGTTATTCCCTGGCCGTAACGAGCTCGACCAGGTCAACAAGATCCACGAGGTGTTGGGCTCGCCGGACGACACACTGCTGCAGAAGTTCAAACAGTGAGAACAGCATCAACACACACACACACACACACACACACACACACGCCTCACATCTGCTACAGATCCATCTAACCTCCACCAGAAAGCCTTGAACTCAAAGCATCTGTAGACCGACTCGCCCCTCGACAGCGTCGTCATCCTCACGCTTGCGTTCGCTAACCCTCACCGTCACAGCATCATGTGACACGGCCCTGGGTGGAGGAAGTGTTGTCATCAACGTTAGCGATCCACGTGCTGAAGTCTGAGCCGCAGACTAGAGTTTATACACCGATGTGAAGCACTAGTGCTGACACACACACACACACACACACACACTAACCCTCACTGCTGACTCTGTGTGTGTGAAGGTCTCGTGCGATGCGGTTCGACTTCCCCCCTCGGAAGGGCTGTGGGATTCATCCGCTGGTTCCTCACTGCTCCTCTGCTGGCCTGTCTCTGCTGGAGCAGATGCTGACCTACGACCCCGAGGAGCGCATCAGCGCCCGCGCAGCACTGCAACACCCCTGCTTCAGAGAGCTGCGGTCGGCACACTCACTCACACACACACACACACACACACACACACACATCTCTCTGTGCTCACGTCTGCATGTTCATCTCTCTGGTGTGTGTTAGCGTGGCGGAGAGGCGGACGGGTCTGCGCAGGAGAGCTGAGGGAGAGTTCAGCAACACGCCGGCGTCTGATCATCTGTGGCGGCTCGCGAGACAGGGCCGGAGACAGGTGACCCTTCCTCATCTCTGAACATACTCACAACTTCCATTTGCACACAATAACACAAGTGAAGATGTGCTATGAGCTAAAGCAAGAAAGACGGCATTATTCCCAGAGTAATTTCATGTATTTAAGAAATGATGATATTTCAGCTACTACATAATCCACGTGTGAATGTTGAATTTCATTCTCCATTTTGTCATAAACTTAATACGGTTCTCATTGTTTAATAAAATTATATGCCAAATTTAATTGGACAAAAACAATCAGCATTAAAAAAAAATCAACACTGCGTCCCATTTTTAGTCTTTGGGAAAAGTTCCTTGGATTTGTGCTATTTTACTGCATTCCTCCCTTTGGACTGTTAATGTCAATAAACATATTTAGTTTCCTCTAATTAAGAAACTACATATATTTTGACGGAAAGAAGTGTGTAGTCTGAGACGTTTGTCCTGTTGTGCTCAGCAGCTGAAGCTGGACCCGCTGAGCCGACGCCACTTCCCTCTGGAGCTGCCCAAGCTGAACCTCGGGAGCCCGACACACACACTCCCGCACGGGGGCCCGACACACACACTCCCGCCGCTGCCGCCGGCCCACCGCGGCTTCCTGCCCGCCATCTCCAAGTGCCACTCGCGTCTCAAAGTAAACCACACTCTCACACTCCACTTATCCAGCTCAGATGATCCTGCTGTGTACTGATGATCTTTTCTTCTGAAGCCCAAAGACGATCCGCAGCATCTGAAGCGCTTCTACATGCCTCACGCGCTGGAGCGCCACCCGCAGGACTACTGACGCCAGCAGAGCTCCGGCACAGCACGCAATAAAGCTCTTTATACACACTGACACGTGTTTTCAGACCAATACTGATGTCTGCATCCCAGATCACATCATCACGTCTCAGACGGATGCGGCGTAAATATAAAGCAGTGCTTTCATTCTTCATTAGCCCATCATTTAGCCGGATCTGTGAACGTGAGCGATGATCATTCGTTACACGAGGTGCTACCGGCTCACAGCAGATTCAGGATTACTGTTGTGACAGCAACACAACTAGTGTTTAATAAAGGGCTTTTACACTTCCTCAAAGTGCCATGCATGACATCACAGACCAGGACTGCTTCTACAGGGCTGTGACGACTACTTGGTTTCTCAATATTATTGTCATACTTCAAGACATATGATTAAAGGTTAACAAAAAATACTAAATTTGATATTAACATTGTGTGCGTAAATGAATAGTCTTGGACAATAGAGACGCCAGAATAGCAATATTCATGATTCCGAAGCTGAAATACAAGATTATTTTACATGAATATGCTTGATCTCTGTCACTGACGACATATGTAAATGTAGGCCACTTTTACTTATTATACATTATATTCAACATTATATACACTGAACAAAATTATAAACGCAACACTTTTGTTTTTGCTCCCATTTTTCATGAGCAGAACTTAAAGATGTAAGACACAAAAGGCCTATTTCTCTCTACGGACACTAAAACTCTACTACTGTGACCCCTATCTCTTACAGTAACATCACTACAGTACACTGATGCACTCTGGGAAGGGTTACATTAATGCATTTGGAGCAAGCACTGTGAACAATGAGGACAACAATCGGCATGAATAAAAGTTAGCTTAAAAGTAACAAAAGCATTGAATAAACTGGTTGTTTCTGAAAGTTGCAGTTCAGGAACACTGCTTCACACACACACACACACACACACACTCTCGGAAACAGGGCACCGAGGTCACGGTAAGAACTAGCACACAGAACAGGACGACACACACCAGACCAAACATCCGTGGACTTTTTTTAATGAAGAACAAAATGTGAAATGCAAAATGTTAACCACATGAATCAAAAATATGACACTTCCATCATCCACATCTTTCCCGGTTAGTGTACATCTCATTAACAATGACTGCTAGTCACAAAGAAGGGTAAGTCATGACAGCGGTTTAATAGTGTCTACTGCTCGTCCTATAGTGGGTTTCGTAGTACATCGAATAACTTTGCTGTTGGTAAGCAAAATATGAACTCTTGAACCTCTTTCATGAGATTAGTTTTCTTCGTCTGCTAGACTTCCTGAGCTTATTAGCCAGACGACACACTGTTCTGTCAATCTAGCGTATCCATTACATAAATCTCCTATATTATCAAAATACATTTGGGTGACTTTTGTACAAGAGAAACAGAAAAAGAAAAAAACAGAAACCTGCATATTTAAGATTATTTTTAATATTATTATGTCTATTTTTCTGCTTTAGAAATGTCACTATTTCCTGTAATGATGACAAACTTCCACTAGAGTTACTGATCATTTGCTTTTGCCCCAATAAATCACTGAATTACAATATTTTACATATAATACAAAGCAGATTTTTATCTGAAACAATATTAAAATAAATGCTCAATAGATACAAAGTTTTTTAATCATAATTCTCCACATTATACCGGTCTGTGAGTCCTTGCACACAAAAATGTAAAGCCATTCTCTTCTAATAAACTATTAAGTGCAAACAAATTTTCTTTTAAAAAACTAATGATTGCAGCATCCAGCTTTTCAGATTCAGATTCAAGACAGAGGATATTAAAGCCGAGTGCATCAAGGCCTTCCCCGAACGTCTACTTCTCTCTTGTTTGATCCTTTATAGTACTTACAAAAAAACGAAAACCCAAAATAAAATCAGTGCAAAGTTTAACAATGGGGGTCAAATCTACTCCGTATGAAAGGATGAAAATAAAACTGTATTAAAAGGGACGTGACTGCTCTTCCAGCCGGGTTCCCGGATCTCCCGAACCGTGGGCAAGATCGAAATACACCAGAGAACAGAATACAGTGAGACGCAACTGAGAGTGAAAACCATATGAAATAAATACTCTGGGGAATGAGAAGGAAAGCCCGTGGCCGGCGCCCTGACGCACAGACGCGTTCCTGCGCTCGCGGCGAGGGAACCGGGGAGACGTCTGGGAGCCGCAGGAACTCTGGGCTATACCACTGTTCCACTGGGAGAGTTGGCCTGGTTCTGGGAGGACAGTAAACCCTGAGGAAAACAAGAGAACAACGTTTGCACAGGGAAAACTCCAATCACAATCCTCCAATACACACAACATTACCCAAAGGTGAACGCGCTTCAAGTCTCGCCGAGCGCTAACTCACAGCAGCGCTAATAGACGCCGAGCGCTGTAGTCTACTATAATCATGAGAACTGATGAAACTCAACATGTCCTTCTAGAACGTCTCTGGTTAGGAAGCGTTTCTAAACGAACGTCGCTCCCCGCGATCTACGCTAGCCACTGCTGACGACAGAACACACACTACCCACTCAGGAGAAGTTCTGATGGACCTCGTGGCGGACGGGTTGAAAGGAATATTCTGACCTCTGACCTGTAACGCCTGAATCATAATCACACACTGCTGCTCGTCGGCGAGTCTGGGCTCTCGCGAGGCACGTCGCCTTTGTCTTAATTGAGGACATTTAATTAATATTCCTCGATCTCTCTGATCTCCTGCACTGACAGCATTATATGAGGCTGAGCTGGACGATGACATCACGGTCTCTCCAGAGCGGATATATATATATATATATGAACTAAATGACTTTTTTTACAACAGAAACGAGCCATCGCTGACCTGACTGAAGCTGGACTGTGGCGCTATGCTCTTCTAGACACACACTGTTGCATTATGGTCCTGCTCTCTCTGTATAATGACGGAGACGCGACTCACCACTTTGCCGGGTCTCGCCCATGTGCAAATAAAGCCCTCCTGACACGCGGTGACAATACAGTCTTCTAGAAAGATGAGCACGGTGAGTCTCTCGTGCGCGATCTTCTTGCAGACTAGCGGCTCGAGCAGCGGCACGTCCTCCATGCGCGGGCACAGCGTCGTGCCCAGAGTCTTGGCAGGGTCCGTTTTGGTTTTGGTGAGCAGGTTGAGTTTGTCGCTGCTCTTGCTGCTGATGTGGCCCATGCTGTGGTTTCGCTTGTGGTCTTTCTCGGGGTGCCGGTCTTTACGGTCGTGCAGCGAGAGCGTGGCGAACTTGCTAACGCCGGTGGCGACGGGGTTCTCGGTCGCGGCGCTCTTGGAGCCGGAGCCGGCGGCCGCGTGCGGGAGGCTGTTGGAGCGCGGCAGCGGCGCGGGCAGCGAGTTAGCCGGCGTGTTAGCGGCGCTGCTGTTGCTGCCGTTAGCGCTGGGGTTGCTAGCGGTCGGGATCACGGCGCCGCTAACGCTTCCTCCCGCCGGCGGGCCGCTCGCATTCATGACGTTGGTGTGCGTTCGCGTTCGGGACAGCGGGAGGTGCGGGAACAAGATGTCCTCCGTCAGGTCCCATAGGCAGAGCTGCGTGTCCTGGCCCACGGAGCCGAAGCGGTACGTCACGCTAACTGGCCGGCTGTCCGTGGAGTTGCGTTTCGAGAGGCGTGACTGCGTGCTGTTAGCTCGATCGCGCCCGAAATGGATCTGGTCCTGGAAGTCCTCGTCGCTGCCGCTGAACTCCATGGGGTCGCTCTCCTCAACGCTAGTGGTGTAGTGGTCGAACGCCACCACGCTAACCCACGACTTGTGCCCGTGTCCTCGCGCGATCACTCGGCAGTCCACGAACGACCACACGGTCACCAGGTCGTCCTCGCCGCCGGCCACGATGTACTTGCCGTCGGGGCTCCAGCACACACACAGGAGCCCGCCGAAGTAGCTCTTCATATTCCCGTGCAGCTCCACCGCGTCGAAGTTGAAGACGCGCAGGAACCCGTCCTGGCTCACGCAGGCCAGGAACTTCCCGTCGGGCGAGAAGGCGAACTCGTTGAGCGCGCCGTCGCCCACGGTCCACTTGAGCAGCGGGTTGCGCGTGGACTTGCTCTTGCAGGTGTGCACGGCGTAGCTCTCGCCCTGCTTCAGCAGCTGGTAGTGCGGGGCCGTGGTGCCGCAGGTGTGCTCCACGTTGTACAGGTACATGCTCCCGCTGGAGTGGGCCACCAGGAACAGGCTCTCCGAGCCCGGGACCCACTTCACACACGTCACGCGGGATTTGTCGATGAGTCTCTGAGTGAGATGGACGAGACAGAGAAGGCATGGGTTATGTAGAAAGATCACCGAATTTGAACATTTCCAATAATAATAAAAAAAATAAATAAAAAAAAAAGAGTAATCTACACTAGTCTATTAAACCAACAATATACAGATGGGGACATTTAATATTCTGCAACATTACTGAACCGAGCTGGACGATGACATCACTGTTTTCTCCAGATCTACTAAATTAAATCAAAAACTAAATTAATAACTTTTTTACAACGAAAATGAACCATCACTGAACTCAAATACGGCATGATCAGCTCTAGAGCGCTGTGATCTCAGCCGTGTGGAAAACGTCACGGAATCCAGAGATTAAAAAATGAACACTTTATTACATCATGGAATTTGGCAAATTTGGTGTGCGGGCACTCACCTCCTCGTTGAAGAGCTTGCTGGTCTCCTTCTTGATGGGGTCGATGAGCTGCACCTGTCCCGCAGAGAAGCCTACGAGCAGCGACACGCTCTCCGCCGTGGCCGTCAGGTGGTTGAAGTCGTGGCACGTGGGCTGCGTCCCCTTGTAGATCCTCTTATCGATGGGTTTGCTCAGGTCAGCAGCCTGTGGCCAACAGAGACAGCCAGCGCTGTTACACACTTCAGAGATACGGAGGCAACAGGACAATAATGCAAGTGAATGTCCTCAACTATCAACTAGAAAGCAGAAGTAAACACCTGAACCGCTGCCAAACACACACAGATCCGGGAAACACCGCAACAGGAGCGTAGTACTCAACCCTGCTCACGTGTATTGTAGGAGATTCTGTTACTTTCCCATTTCAGTCTATTCAATTCAATTTCTATGATGAAACAAACTATAAAAACTACTGAACATGTGAGTGTAGAGATGATTTTATCATCTCTACACTGGTTACCTTTTAAGTTCCGCATCAACTACAAAATACTGCTACTGACCTATAAAGCCCTAAATGGTTTAGCACCTATGTACTTAACGGACCTTCTTTCGCCCTACAATCCACCGCGTTCCTTAAGATCACTAAATTCAAGGCTTCTGGTCATTCCTAGGATATCGAAGGCCAGTAAAGGAGGGAGGGCGTTCTCGCATTTAGCTCCAAAACTCTGGAATGGCCTTCCCGATACGGTCCGAGCCTCTGACTCGCTGACACAGTTTAAAACTAGATTAAAGACTCTTTAGTCAAGCATTCACATAATGCTTACCTTCTAGTCCTCTGTTATGCCATACGGAACCGTTTGCCACTGAAACTGCTTAACGCACCAGTGGGGCTCGACAGCCTTTTAGACAAACGGGTCGGCGCGTATGGTTGGGTTGCGGAGAGTTCAGGTTACGGAGAGTTTGTGAGATAGTGGTTTTCTAACACCGACTCCCGTATAATGGAAATCATTATGAACATCAGCTATGCTAATTATTTCCCATCTGCCTTTCTGCTGTTATCTCGGGACGCTTGTCCCGAGAAAAATGGCGTTCGTCAGGTCCAGTTTTGTGTCCAGCCTCTCACGGGGATTTCGGATGCCCCAACGCCTGTAAAGAGACGACTCAACGCCTGCGATATGTTATGGCGCCGTTTTGTTCATAAACAATATTTATATTTAATATTTATATTTAAACAATATGAATGTAAGCCAGAGGAGAACTGGCCCCCGACTGAGCCTGGGTTCTCCCAACGTTTTTTCTCCATCCAATCTGATGGAGTTTGGTTCCTTGCCACTGTCGCCTTGCTTTTGGCTTGCTTTGAGCTTGCTCAGTTGGGGTTATTTAGTGTTTAGCAGTATTATTGATCTGTGTTGTACTACTTTCATGTTATCAGTGTGAAGCTGCTTTGATACAATCTGTATTGTGAAAAGCGCTATATAAATAAATGTGACTTGACTTGAACCATAAAAACCACTGAACGTGTGAACCATAAAAACCACTGAACATGTGAGCCATAAAAACTACTGAACATGTGAATTGTGAACCATAAAAACCACTGAACATGTGAACCATAAAAACTACTGAACATGTGAACCATAAAAACTACTGAACATGTGAGCCATAAAAACTCCTGAACATGTGAACCATAAAAACTACTGAACATGTGAGCCATAAAAACCACTGAACACGTGAGGCATAAAAACTACTGAACATGTGAGCCATAAAAACTACTGAACATGTGAGCCATAAAAACTACTGAACATGTGAGCCATAAAAACTACTGAACATGTGAACCATAAAAACTACTGAACATGTAAACCATAAAAACTACTGAACACGTGAGGCATAAAAACTACTGAACATGTGAGCCATAAAAACTACTGAACATGTGAGCCATAAAAACTACTGAACATGTGAACCATAAAAACCACTGAACATGTGAGCCATAAAAACTACTGAACATGTGAACCATAAAAACCACTGAACATGTGAGCCATAAAAAATTACTGAACATGTGAGCCATAAAAACCACTGAACATGTGAGCCATAAAAACTCCTGAACATGTGAACCATAAAAACCACTGAACATGTGAGCCATAAAAAATTACTGAACATGTGAACCATAAAAACCACTGAACATGTGAGCCATAAAAACCACTGAACACGTGAACCATAAAAACTACTGAACACGTGAGCCATAAAAACTGCTGAACATGTGAGCCATAAAAACTACTGAACATGTGAACCATAAAAACTACTGAACATGTAAACCATAAAAACTACTGAACACGTGAGGCACAAAAACTACTGAACATGTGAGCCACAAAAACTACTGAACACGTGAGCCATAAAAACCACTGAACATGTGAGCCATAAAAACCACTGAACATGTGAACCATAAAAACTACTGAACATGTGAACCATAAAAACCACTGAACATGTGAGCCATAAAAACTACTGAACATGTGAGCCATAAAAACTCCTGAACATGTGAACCATAAAAAACTACTGAACATGTGAGCCATAAAAACTACTGAACATGTGAGCCATAAAAACTCCTGAACATGTGAACCATAAAAACTACTGAACATGTGAACCATAAAAACCACTGAACATGTGAACCATAAAAACTACTGAACACGTGAACCATAAAAACTACTGAACACGTGAACCATAAAAACTACTGAACATGTGAACCATAAAAACCACTGAACATGTGAACCATAAAAACCACTGAACATGTGAACCATAAAAACCACTGAACATGTGAACCATAAAAACTAACTACTGAACATGTGAACCATAAAAACCACTGAACATGTGAACCATAAAAACCACTGAACATGTGAACCATAAAAACCACTGAACATGTAAACCATAAAAACTACTGAACATGTGAACCATAAAAACCACTGAACATGTGAACCATAAAAACCACTGGACATGTGAACCATAAAAACCACTGAACATGTGAACCATAAAAACCACTGAACATGTGAACCATAAAAACCACTGAACATGTGAACCATAAAAACTACTGAACATGTGAACCATAAAAACTACTGAACATGTGAACCATAAAAACCACTGAACATGTGAACCATAAAAACCACTGAACATGTGAACCATAAAAACTAACTACTGAACATGTGAACCATAAAAACCACTGAACATGTGAACCATAAAAACCACTGAACATGTGAACCATAAAAACCACTGAACATGTAAACCATAAAAACTACTGAACATGTGAACCATAAAAACCACTGAACATGTGAACCATAAAAACCACTGGACATGTGAACCATAAAAACCACTGAACATGTGAACCATAAAAACCACTGAACATGTGAACCATAAAAACCACTGAACATGTGAACCATAAAAACCACTGAACATGTGAACCATAAAAACCACTGAACATGTAAACCATAAAAACTACTGAACATGTGAACCATAAAAACCACTGAACATGTGAACCATAAAAACCACTGGACATGTGAACCATAAAACCCACTGAACATGTGAACCATAAAAACCACTGAACATGTGAACCATAAAAACCACTGAACATGTGAACCATAAAAACCACTGAACATGTGAACCATAAAAACCACTGAACATGTGAGGCATAAAAACCACTGAACACGTGAGCCATAAAAACTACTGAACATGTGAACCATAAAAACCATAAATAGGCCTAGAGGTCGGTAGTAAATCGAAGTATATTTACTTCAGTATTTATTGGAAAAGTTGCACTTTTAAGGAGTAGATTTAATGTGGATACTTTTACTTTAACTGAAAAAAACTGCACTTTTCCTTTACGCTGGGCAACGTTCCTCTCATTACATTATTTTGCGGGGCATGAGCGATGCCTCATTCACAGATGAATCACTCTTTTGAGTCGAGTCTGTTGAAAGATTTGATCAAACGAGTTGGCAGATCTGAGGAGTCAGTTCACACACGATACATCTGATCACACGAGAACAGAGGATCGTCACTGGACAATACAGTATTGTTTGTGTTCGGATGAGTTTTCACATTTTTGCCTTTAAGAGCAAAACTTAATTTCAACATTGTCTAATAACCCAATCATAGATATAGTTTGTTATTATACAAAGCAAAGGACATGCGATGACTTTGGGGCTAGAGATGACATGCCAGAAATAATCTCTTCTGAGTCTCTTCTGTGTTTGTTTTAAAGACATCTAATTAGAATCATTTTAATTAAATACCCATGTAAATAATAACATGTTATTGAATTGTTGTTGTATGATGTGAAGTAACTTGGAACCATGCAGTCTGTCATGAAGACATCAGATGACGCTAACTCTGAATCTACACGCACTAATGCTGCATTTCTCTAAATGTCAATCATTTGTTAACAAACAAGTAGCCTATTCATCACTTCAGTGAGCTCATAGTTTCAGCATTAAATTACTACATTCTTTAAATTAATACATTTTTAGCTAAACTGATTTTGTATATGTACATTTCTGAAATGCATAACTGCGTGTCCTCTGATAACAGATCTCTGTACACTGAAATGTGGACTCGTGCACTTTCTGTAAAGATGCTTTGAAACGATGTGTGTTGAAAAGCGCTGAACAAATAAACGTGAATTGAATTAACTAGTTCAGTAGTTTTTCCGTTGGATACTTTGTTACTCTTAATCAAGAAACTGTTAAGATTGTTACTTTTACTTGAGTAAAATTTTTGGATACTCTACACACCTCTGACCATAACAACTACGAAACCTTAGAAACGAGTGAATATGTGAACCACTGAACATATGAACTGTAAACAAAGTAACTTACGAACCAATGAACATACACTACTGAACACACGAACCACTGAACATAAAATACTGAACACACGAAATACCGAACATAAACTAAACTAGGCTACTGAACACACGAACCACTGAATATGAACTAGTAGGCCTAATACACACTAAGCAACTGTTCACAGCTGATCGACGATCCTCAAACTCAGTGAACAGCAAACACACTCCTGTCAAAGCAACACACACACACACACACACACACAGAGAGAGAGAGAGAGAGAGAGAGAGAGAGAGAGAGAGAGAGAGAGAGAGAGAGAGAGAGAGAGAGAGAGAGAGAGAGAGAGAGAGAGAGAGAGATAAACAAACAGACGCGCGTCAGCAGTGAAAGTGCGCGCGCGTCTGTGTGTGTGTGTGACATTCCCTAATGATGTGAAATGACCGCTGTTCCGCCAGTGTGGACATACATAACCGCGTCGTTCTCACCTTCCTGACGCCTTTGTAGATGTAGAAGTACAGCTCCCGGCCCACATTGAAGCAGATTCGGTCGCCGTTCCCGGACTGGTCATTGACGTTGACGAACGAGACCCGGACAGGGTTCGAGCCCTGCGAGTTGAAGGGCACACGGTTCGGGCGACTGTACTCGGAGTGTGTGAGGAGTTTATACGCGCCTTCCCGCGTGCTGAACTGACTCTTGATCTCGTTCATCTCCTTCCCTCCTCCCTCCGCCGCCATCTTTGACATTTACATTCATCCTTCCGCAGGCCCGGATCT